ACACCGAGGGCTGCGATCCCGTTACTGGTCAGTAAAAAAGACAAAAAGGAAAAAAAAAAAAAAAGAAATTTCTACACTTTTCTGTGCTTTCATCGCACTTATTTTAAAAACATTTCAAGCCTAATGACTTACCTTTGCCAAATGCAGTACTCTACTTATCAAGAAGAGGGCAATACAATTACGATTGCATATCACCTATGTACATTACTTTACTACACTTCAAAATGATATGTCATCAAGAAAATTAAAATTTTGTCATGGTTTTAAAATATTGATTAGGCCCGAGTACTTTCAAAGAGCAAACAAATTTCATGTTTTTTCAAACATATAACAATATAACATCAGGTAATATTTATGAGATTAAAAAAAAACCTCTCAATACTTTAGATTGTTTTTATAATTGTTATTGCCTAATATCACCTTTCTTTATATCTGAGACTGTCAGATCGTGCTTATTTGTGTAGCTAAATTATAATGCACAGCCTCTTATCATCTGACATTGTTGTCTTGTTCAGAGAGCCCTCTACCTCTGAACCTTATAGAGGCTCAATAAAATCTTATTCATCTCATTAAATGAAAGAATTTAAAGCCAAAATCCTCTAGCCATTTCAGTACAATAATTTCTTTAGAAAAGACAAAAGGAAAAGGAGGCATCTCTTCCCTGTTTCTATTTTTCCCATGCTGCTAATCAAAGACAGGAAGCTGTGAGCCTAGGAATGCCTTGGTAAACGGGATTGATGATGAAGACTTTATTCTTGCTGTTGTTTTTGGTTATGAAAATTTGGCACTCAAAGTCCATAAAAGTAACATTACTACTAACAATTATTACTACTAATAATATTTTACATCTAAAAGTTTCTGATTGAATTTATATAAAGGTGCAAAACAGCAAATTAATCAACTTATAACTACATGGTTTATCTCTACATTTCCCAACATTTTTAAATTTGAAGACATAATAGAATAATATTATAGGGAGAAATAAGGGCAGAGGAAAGTAAAAGGACATTTCCCCTCAGAACTAATATTAGTCCTTTTAGATTACTTGTCATTTGTAAAATTATATACTAAGTACATTTATTACCAGCTGAGGCTCTGAGATACATACATTCTGCTTTTATCTTCTCTTGTCCCCTAGTAGCCTTGGATTTGCCTCAAACTCAAAGTTTCTACTGAGTTCACAACTGGGGATTTTGGCCGGAACATGCAGTATGATGATAATACTAGTGAGGCTCGCAACCAAAATTAGCAAAATGTTACCCATTTTCTCTCCAAGGGAGTGAAAGAAAGAAAATGACTGAACCTGTGATAACTTCTTCATGCCATCAGCTTATTCTCTATGAAATTCTTAATTCCTAGCATGAGCCAAATCCCCTCAAAGTGGGAAGCTATTTGAGGGGAGAAGAGAGGTTTAATAATTGGGAGAAGAATAGAGTAATACCTGCTTTGTCCCACAGTTATGTTCCTTCATGAAACCTATTGCCTTTTCATAAAAAGGGAGACTTGGAAACATTTCCTGCAACTCAGCATGACCATTCCTAGTCTCCTAGTGCACCCATATAGAAGAGGATGCCCTCAGACCTGCTCTTCCCTTATTTTTTTTCATGCTATGGATTCATAATTGCCATGGCAGTGCAAACTTGACCAAAATAAGGTAGCAACCAGG